CAAGTTTGATAATTCAACACAGTTAGATACACATAACCAAGTTTAATAATTCAACACAGTTAAATACTCATAACCAAGTTTGATAATTCAACACAGTTAGATACTCATAACCAAGTTTAATAATTCAACACAGTTGGATACTCTCAGCCAGTTTATTAATTCAACACAGTTAGATACTCCCAGCCAGTTTATTAATTCAACACAGTTAGATACTCCCAGCCAGTTTATTAATTCAACACAGTTAGATACTCCCAGCCAGTTTATTAATTCAACAGTTAGATACTCTCAGCCAGTTTATTAATTCAACAGTTAGATACTCTCAGCCAGTTTATTAATTCAACACAGTTAGATACTCTCAGCCAGTTTATTAATTCAACACAGTTAGATACTCCCAGCCAAGATTAATAATTCAGCACAGTTAGATACTCCCAGCCAAGATTAATAATTCAGCACAGTTAGTCACCCCATACCGTTTGGTGTTAATGATTGAAAATTTAACGCTGGCATTTTAGGGTTAATTAATACTCTTGCAAATACAGATACAACAAAGCAAGAAATAAAAACTAGGATGAAAAGAACTCGAATCCAATAATTTAATTACTCAATGAATTTTACTTCATTCCAAAAACTCACTTATCAATGGCACACTTTCTCCAGCGTTGTTTTGGGTATTTAATCGCTTCCCACAGAATCTATCATAACTCGTTGTTGAGTCCGATTCCCTGTAGGCATTTGAAATGACTACATAGTCAAGCTTGCAGGCAGAAGCTCCTCGTCGAGCCCTATTCTGGGATCCAGTTATTTCGAAGGTTTCTGCTGTCCAGCGGATGTTACAGAATCCTTCTTTGGGTTGAATACAAATGGCATAGTTTTGTTCACTCAGCTGACGGGGAATGTTGTCATCCGTGGATTCGAAGTTGAAACTTGAGACACGACCCGTTTTTTTCAAATTTCTAGAAATAATGTTTTTTTTTTACATAACAAGCTATTTCATAAGTTTTAACACTACATTGGCAGTGGGTGGTGTTGACTAGCTGCCTTCTCTCTAGTCTACCACTGTAAAATTAGGGGCGGCTAGCGCCTATATTCGCCTTCGTGTGACTTTGCGCGAAATTCAAATCAAACCAAACAATAATTTTATACTGTGTAAACATATCCTGTTTATTTTAGATTACTAATGAGAACCTACGCTATTTTGAAACGTGTAGTGAATATCATCCTTTTGATTAATCCTGTGACTTTTATAAAAGTTTATCTTTTGTTTTTCAGAATCAGTACTCCCTCAGTGGCAATTCTGAGGACTTATAATGCTCAAAATCGATTTCGGCATTCGCGGTGGGCGCAGCACGGATAACTTTGATTAATAAACGAAAGTAATACACACCGAAAGCTTAAGAGATTACATGATTTTCACCGAAGTGTATGTTTCTAAGTTACAAAAAATATTTCTTAAAATTTATAATGAGTCTTTAGAGATTGGCGTATCGCCCCCTCATCCGCAATCATGAGCTTCTCTATTAAGACCGCGCTCCATTTATGTAAATATCTGTTGTCTGTTATAAGAATTTTCACTAATAAACTAGTTATTATTACAGCTCCTGTTGGGTGTCTGCAGTATTACCGAGAAACGCTGTGTTTTTTAGTGTACGTTGGTTTTAGATTAAACTTTTTGTTTTGTTTTTAGTGTACGTTGGTTTTAGATTAAACTTTCTGTGTTTTTTAGTGTTCGTTGGTTTTAGATTAAACCTTTTTGTTTTGTTTTTTAGTGTACGTTGGTTTTGGAGAAAGCGACAATCTGCTCCTAAATTTTGTCACATCTGGCGTTACAGTGGAACGAATATGGAACATTAAGGTTACATACCTACAATGTAACAGTCCTCAAATAGGTAAGTTTACTTGTAGCTAAGGAATTATTTGGAGAATTTAAATGCACTGAAACCTCTTAGTGTATTAAAACTGGTTTATTTGTTTATTAAATTTCTAAACGTAGCTATTCCGTCGATAAGTACGATAGCAACGTTACCCGTAGATAAATAATAGATAAAGGTTGTAAAAGAAATTGTATTATAATATAGAAATTCATTTGATAATTGAGTGGTTTTCGAACTATGTTTCGTGGAACCCCCAAGGATCATCAGAGGGTTCTCCACAAAGATTATATACAATGGCGTTTTTTGTGTGTGTTTTCAATTATCGAGAGTTAATTTGTGAAAGACAAAATGTACTTTTAAAAATCATGAATATTTTTTAATATTTATATAAAATTCTACATTGACAATACTGTTATAAACTTGGTCACTTTCATATGCTTTAAGAGTAGGTTAAAGGTTAAGGTTCAGTGACGAAAGGAATGAAATAACAGGGTTCAATGTCTTCGTAAAATTTGAAAACCACCGAATTATAATGGACTTCGTCCTCTTGTTGTAATTCATTTGGACATTTTTTTTTTACTGTTATCAGTGGTGTGAATTGGTATAACAAAGTAATTCATCTACGCTGATTGGCTGAGATTTATTGGACGGTGTAAAATATTTGTTATAAAAGACTTCGATATATAGGAAGGAAACATTGATTATATATATTTTTTCTTCTAAAACTAAAACGAAATACGCATGATCTGATAACTTAAACAGGTTTTGGGGTGAATGTTTTAATACCAATACTAATGAAAGTTTAATCCAAAACCAACGTATACTAAAAAACAAAACAAAAAGTTTAATTTAAAACCAACGTACACTAAAATGCACAGAAAGTTATGTACAAGAAATTCTACACAAATTTGAAAAATTTTGGAATCAGATAATTAAAAATTAAATTTCAAAGATCGTGCTTATTGGTATTAATCACACTCAGGTTTTTAACAAATATTTAATGTGTTGATTCCCGTTTTCACCGCAGAAGATTACATTCAATTATTGTTGACAACACCGTGTGTGTAAGTTACAGATTATCTGTATCTAGATTTCCCAACGTTTCCTTTAACTCGCCACAAACTACATTAAAATACATAATAAATACATCACATTCTGCACATTACATAGAAAAGGTCCTTTTTTACTGTTTTAACGAATTGTTAAAATAGGTCCTATCTATTGTATTATTGAATTACTTTAAATACGTAATAAATACGTCACACTGCACTTTATGTAGAAAGCTTACTTCTACTGATTTACTTAAGTATTACAATACAAAATAAATACATCATTTCTACAGAATGTGTACGTTATATAGAACTGTTTACTTCTACTGTATTACTGAAGTATTAGAATACATGATAAATACATCACTTCTACAAAATGTGTACGTTATATAGAACTGTTTACTTCTACTATATTATTGCACTCTAAATACGTTAGTTTTACTGGATATTCTGGTAATTATTTGTTGATAATAATTATTTTCATGTTTCAGTTTTCTCCAATATTTTCGGACTGGCGAACTTCGCTAACAATTATTTGTTGATAATAATTATTTTCATGTTTCAGTTTTCTCCAATATTTTCGGACTGGCAAACTTCGCTAACAATTATTTGTTGATAACAATTATTTTCATGTTTCAGTTTTCTCCAATATTTTCGGACTGGCGAACTTCGCTAACAATTATTTGTTGATAATAATTATTTTCATGTTTCAGTTTTCTCCAATATTTTCGGACTGGCGAACTTCGCTAACAATTATTTGTTGATAATAATTATTTTCATGTTTCAGTTTTCTCCAATATTTTCGGACTGACGAACTTCGCTAACAGCGTGTGTCAGGCAGATAACCTACGAGTCGGGACCTGTTACACTGAAAACGAATGTAGAAGGTTAGGAGGAGAACCTAGCGGTGTCTGTGCTTCTAGATATGGCGTTTGTTGTGTCTGTAAGTCTTTTAAAATGGCTGTCTCACTAGTACGAGTTGCATTTTTATATATAACGTGAATTGTTTGTAAATTTAATATGATTTAAAATGTAATCGAAATATGAAACAGGATGTCTTCGTATCGTAAAAACTCACTGTATGAGTTAACTATTACAGCTCTTACATACTTTATAAACCTTATGATAACTTCTTTAATATATCAGGCTTAATTTCTCCTACGCTTTAATTCGTACAATATTTTCCTGTTACCATTGTTGTAAGTTAATATAACAATGTAACTAATTATATGAGATATTATTTCTGCACTGTATTAAACTGCTTTACATTATCTGTTTTGCAACAATGGAGTATGACAAATTATCACAGTAAAATTGTTATAAGTGACACTGCTGTAATTAATGAATGAATTATCTCGTTAATGAAACTTTTGCTATATTTGTATGTGTTTTAAATAAATTTAATGAAGAAGGTGTATCCGTACTGTGCGGCCCGGCATGGCCGGGTAGTTAGGGAGCTCGACTCGCAATCTGCGGGTCGCGGGTTCGAATCCCTGTCACACCAAACATGCTCGCCCTTTCAGCTGTGGTGGCGTTATAATTTGGCGGTCAATCCCACTATTCGTTGGTAAAAGAGTATCCCAAGAGTTGGCGGTGGGTGGTGATGACTAGCTGCCTTCCCTCTAGTCTTACACTGCTAAATTAGGGACGGCTAGCGCAGATAGCCCTCGTGTAGCTTTGCGCGAAATTCAAAAACAAACAAAAAACAAACTATCTTTGCGCGAAATTCAAAACAAACTGTACTGCGCAGTTAATATTTTCAGAAGTGTAAAACTAAGTTTTTGAACATAAGTCCAATGTAGAAAGGTTGTATGAAGTAATGAAACCAAAGATTGTAGTAAAATAAAACTTAACACTAAATTTTAAGCTTCTGTTTTTTTGTTGTTTTTTTATAATTGGTTTAGTTTATGTTATAACTAATGATTAAAATATCTTGAAATCACTTGATTTCTATACGTCATAATTCATTTAGTGTGTATAAACTTCAGCTACAATACGTCTTAATTACACAACGTCTCGTCTTCTGTAGTTGAGGTAACTTGTAGTGGAGTGGTCCAGCAGAACAACTCAATCATCGTAAGTCCTAACTACCCTTCTAAATTTACTGACAGTCGAAGCTGTGATATTACTATTAACAGAAGGCCTAACGCCTGTCAAGTTCGATTGGATTTCACCGAGATGACCCTCGCCCAGCCTGATAACACTGTCTGTGTAAATGACAGGTTTTCTGTTTCTAGATTTCCCAACGTCCCCGTTATCTGCGGTGAAAACAGGAATCAACACAGTAAGTACCTTGCCCTGTATTTAGGGTTAGAAAAGATGAAAAAAACTTACGTTTTTGGCTTCTAGCAGCTTCGAGATCACCAAAGCAGACTGGCATAAGCAAACAAAATCCAACAAAAAAGAAAGTAGTCCCTTTCATTGTTAAGCCTGTGGGTCACAAACATTTCATCTGATTATTCTTTCCATGTATGTTTAACAATAATAAATAGTAAGACGAGGTAAAAAGAGATAATAGACTGACTATTTAACACAAAAACGTGAAAAGACCAAGCGTAATATAGAATCGGACTGGTGTATTTAAGTGTTTTACACTCACAAAAAAGAAACCTATCACTCTATAGGTATTTGAAGAACTTGTAGCATTTTCGCCACAATTTAATTCTTCGT